TCTCTCTCTCTCTCTCTCTCTCTCTCTCTCTCTCTCTCTCTCTCTTTGACAGGACACCTCAGCGTCGCACACACGGTCTCTGCACATTTCATCGCTCCGTACTTCCCCGGGGGAGAGCCACCCCACATTCCCTCCCATCCACTCACTCACTCACACACTCTCTCTCTATCTCTTTGACAGGACTCCTCAGCGTCGCACACACGGTCTCTCACATTTCATCGCTCCGTACTTCCCGGGGGAAAAGCCACCCAACATTCCCTGCCATCCATTCACTCACTCACTCACTCTCTCTCTCTATCTCTTTGACAGGACACCTCAGCATCGCACACACGATCTCTGCACATTTCATCACTCCGTACTTCCCGGGGGAAAGCCACCCCACATTCCCTCCCATCCACTCACTCACTGACACTCTCTCTCTATCTCTTTGACAGGACACCTCAGCGTCGCACACACGGTATCTGCACATTTCATCGCTCCGTACTTCCCGGGGGAGAGCCACCCCACATTCCCTCCCATCCACTCACTCTCTCACTCACTCACTCTCTCTCTCTATCTCTTTGACAGGACACCTCAGCGTCGCACACACGGTCTCTGCACATTTCATCGCTCCGTACTTCCCGGGGAGAACTCTCATCCAAGATGCGGCAGCCGCTCGAACATCTTCTTCTTCCGGCCATCTGCCTCGCGATGCTCCTGTCCTCTGATGCTGCGGGCTGTACTGATGCTGCGAGCTCGGAAGAGAAACCGGCGGCGTGTGGTACTGATGCTGCTGCGGATGAGGATGCTGCGGGAGGAGGAGGACAGACGTGCAGTCAGCGAGAGCGGGAGTCGTGCCCGCGTCCCGACATAGACCCGTCCGGCTACCTCATCTTCTGTCTGTGCATGGGAAGATTCGGCAACAAGGTCGACCACTTCCTCGGCGGGCTGGCGTGGGCGAAGCGCGTAAACCGCACCCTGGTGCTGCCGCCGTGGTTAAGCGCAGAGGGCAGCGCCCCCTACGAAACCCTTTTTAGCGTCGACGCCGTGCGCCGCTACCATCGCGTCATCACCGCCGACGACTTCATGCGCCAGGTGGCGCCGCTCGTGTGGCCGCCGGAGAAGCGCGTCGGCATGTGCTACGTGCGTAACCACGGCGACGACTGCAAGATGGTGCACGGGCAGCCGTTCGGCAGCTTCTGGCGCGCGCTCGGAATCGAGTTCGTCCGCGAGATCCCGTACACGTTCACCTACCACGCGACGGACGCCTTCAACGCCACCTTCCCGCCGTCGCGCTACCCCATCCTCGCCCTCAAGGGGGCGCCGGCGTCCTACCCCGTGAACGCTGGCCACCGCGACCTGCAGCGCCACCTGGTGTGGTCCGACGAGATGGCGGCGGAAGGCCGCGCGCACGTGCTCCGCCTCTTCGGCGGACACCGTTTCGTCGGCGTGCACCTGAGGAACAACTACGACTGGGAGCGCGCGTGCGCGGGCGTGCACCGCTACACCAACTACATGTCGTCATCGCAGTGCCTCGGCGACCGGCCGCCCGTCGGCGCGGTAACGGCGGAGATGTGCCTGCCGTCGCCGGCGGAGGTCGTGCGTGCGACGCGGCGCGCGGCGATCGCAGCCGACGCGAAGTTCGTCTACGTCGCGTCCGACCGCGATCCGATGCTCGCCGCGCTGCGCGAGGGGCTGGCCGACCTCTCTGCGCAGGTGGTGCACCTCGACAGAAAGGTCGCGCCGGTGCGGACGGAGGTCGACCTGGTCGTGCTCGCGATGGCGGACCACTTCGTCGGAAACTGCGTCTCGTCGTTCACGGCCTTTGTGAAGAGGGAGCGAGACGTCCGCGGGAAACCGTCGTCGTTCTTCGGAATCGACGAGTGAGTGAGTGAGTGAGTGAGTGAGTGAGGTACGGTCGTCCGCTCGACAAAGACTCATTATGTCATCTAACGAGGTCATCTAACGAAGACATTTAACGAAGACATCTGTCGCTGACTCAGCGAAGACATCTAATACCAATGTTGTTTACACCGTTCTATATCCTACCAATGTTGTTTAAAACGTTCTGACACCTCCAAATATTCCTTACAACATTTTGCCTTCTCTAAACAGGTGACCTGTCACTGTAACCTATAAAACATGATGGTTCACGATTAACAGTGAAGGCTGATTGACTGGATCATGTGCCGCCATATCGGATTTCCTTCAAATCTAGGAGCAGCAAGTAAAATCAGTTCCTGCCAGCAAAATCAACAAGCTTGATCTGGATCAGTGATCTATCGAACCAAATGATCTGGATCAGTGATCTATCCAATCAAATGATCTGGATCAGCGATCTATCCAACCAAATGCGCAAGATCATTAGATCAGTCTGCTGCAGATGACAAAAAATCTTCAACAAAATTCAACAAAAAATATTCGCCATGTTATCTTGTTTTTACTTCCTCTTGCGTTACTCTTGCCCTTTCTTTCTTTTCATAACGACTTCATCCACCCCTCGCTCGTGCTCCTACGAAAGCAAAGCACTTTTTTGTCGGCGCAATTTTTCTACTTCGCTGTCATGGAGATAATTACTAAGGAAATGCATTACCATGAACCGGAACGCTGACAGTGAGTAAGAGAGAGATGTGAGTCACGATCATCGGAGTGTAGCGTTGAAGTTACACCAAGATTCATCATCATCGTCATTATCATCATCATGATCATCATCATCATGATCATCATCATCATCATCATCATCACCATCATCATCATCATCATCATCATCATCATCATCATCATCATCATCATCATCATCATCATCATCATCATCATCATGAGCATCGTGGGCTTATATATGATTTATGATGAGCTATATAGTCTACAAGGCTGGTCTGGCTATACGCACTCTTAGCTCTAGAACTTTAGCCCTTCGGTCTGCCACAGGCATGTGGCACAGCGAAGGGAGTATAGTTCTAGAGCNTATTATCAGTCGCGATACGTGCTTAGAAGGCACACACAAGCATCAGAACACAAACAAGCATAGAAGAGACAATAACAGTACCAGAACCAAATCTGGAAAATAAAATTTTCTACTTTTTATGCGATTTTTTTTAAACAACCGTTTTTTACAATTTTACCGGTTTTTACCAATTACCTAACACATTTTATTGTCGCTATCGCAATTGTGACATACGTAGGCGATTGAAACTCGATCGGTGCACAAGACATGTGACCAACCTTTGCATTGGACACACTGTACCCATTCATCACCTGCTTTAGAACGTGAATAGCTCTCTGTGCACACTAGACAAATTACGTCCTCATCATCTTCGTCGGCTTCGTCATCGTCATGGCGATTAAACAGTGATTTAGCCGGTCCCTTCTCTTTGGATGTTCCAGGTGTAGGTCCTCCCTTAGCCGGTCCCTTCCCTTTTTTTGTCTTCGGTATTATTTTCTTCTTTTTCCGGTTATTTTCCTCTTCTTCTAGGGCTGACTTCTAGGTGTGTCCTTTAAGATGGCGCTATGTCTCTTTTTCTGGTACCTGCTTTTTTCGTTCTGGGTTCAGTTACCTTAGGTAGAGGTCTTATATCACTGGGTGTTACTACAGGGCTTTGAATCCGGTTCGGTACATGTGTAGGAGTGGTAGGAGGGGAGGTAGTAGCTGCTACAGGGGTCTCGGAAGAGTCTGAGTCGACAGCAGCTGCCTGTCCGGTATTCTCTACTTTGCAGTAATGAGCTCCACCACCGCTACCGTACAAGGCAACTTCGACTACTGTATTGTCTCGGAGTCTATCGGTGCCTCTGGGGCGATGCTCTTGACAGGTAACGTTTTCGTTAATTACACTGTAGATGTCAATCCCAATTGACATATCGTTACACAAGGCGTCGATTATTAGATCACATGTATTAGTGTTATACTCCTAGAGAACAACGTAACGCCGTAATTCCTCCATCACGTTTTCACCGGCACTGAACTGACGATAGAAATCAATATTCTCTTCAACTTCCGCCAACAACTTATCGGAAATCGCGTCTTTATCTATAACCTCTAGACTTTGAAGAACTGCCTCTATGAGACAATGTCCATCGCCTCTAATTTCGGTGATTGTTTTACCGAGC